CGAAGGACCAAGTAAGAGATTACAAATACGAAATACAAAACTTGAAGAATATAACATCTTCAAGTTGATAAAAAAAAAACAGCTAGACTACAAACAGGCTTTTTCCTTGCTTCGTCTCGCTCGAAATACTTCGAGAGATTCGTTAAAAACGTCATCGATGCCTGCCATCTTTGCCACTTAAATCTTGTATGTTCAACTATCCTGGTGTCATGCACCTACTAGCTGTCGCCTGGTACTCCGCGCGGTTAAAAAATAAAACTTGTTAAGTAGGCTATGTGTTTTTCCAGACTATGCTTTACATCTATGCCAAATTTCAGCGAGATCCATGCAGCCGTTCTGGAGATACCTTATAACAAACATCCATGCTTCCATCCAAACATTCGCATTTATAACATTAGTAAGATTTATAAGTAGACTAGTACTAACGTCTGTTTGGCGATAGTCCTTACGTTTCCTTACTGATTTGTACTCGTCAACTGAGTCCCACACGATTGCTTTACATCGACCGATATTCATTAGTTATTAGTATACGGCGTCTTCTCCCTTGTTGAACAACAACCGTGTTATCGACTGTATATACCGCGCCTTACGAAAGTTTATTTTGTGTCATCACTCGTTTTGGGATATTCAATATTCAATAGAACTTCTATTTCAAGCGTTACACTTTGGTGCGTAAACATGACCAAGTTACGGTTCTGCGGGTACCTTCAGTAGTGTAATCACTGGGTTAAAGACGAGTCATGTGTCAAGGTGAAAACACGCATTCTACACACGCAGTCTATGGTTCTCTATTGTTATTCCAACGTATTAAATAACTAGCAGGTGGACGTTGGCTTTAACGTGTTATTTGATTTTATATTTAATCCTATATATTTGACGAAGCGTACTTATATCAATAGAACTTTATTTATAAGTTCTATTGATCTTATATTATCGTCGCAACCATGAAAGCTTTCTAGCTACGCTTTTTTATCATAATAATGTCATTATATATAAAAAGGGCAAGATATAAATACTTGATATCGACATTAAATCGAGTGTGTGGATAATCTAAAGTGCAATTTATAGCACCCACTTAATATCTATATTTAGAAACAATGAAATGTACATTACTTCTTACTAATATTATAAATGCGAATGTTTAGATGGATGGATGGATGTTTGTTTGAAGTTATCTCTAGAACAGCTGAACGGATCTCGCTGAAGTTTGGCATACATATAGAACATAGTCTAGATGAACACATATGCTCATTAAGTTTTTTTTATTTCCGTGCGTACGGAGTCGCGGGAGACCGTATGATTATAATTTACATACCCAACGACCATTAACTTTTTCTATTATTCTATCTATTGCATGTTGCTTCTTTGTTTTATATAAATCAATCTATACAGATCCTAAGTATCGAAAGTATGGTTGTTTAGACGCGTGCTATTTGTGATCCGGTGACTCAGTTTGTTTTGTTTCTATTCGTCATTACTATGCAACATGTTTATTTCCATCTTGAAGCATATTGAACAGCAAGATTATGTTACCTTAAGTTTCTACAGCTAAAACCCCTTACAAAAATCTTATATCTGTATTTTTAATAAAGGGTCTTGACATACAGACAGACGGACAAAATAGTAATCCTATAAGGGTTCCGTTTTATCCCTTCGAGTTTAGGAACACTAAAAAATAAGAGGTAATACAGGTGCACCAGTTGAGATAATGGAAATACACACTTAGAGAATATGGCGAATAGTCAACTTTGGCATAATTAAGTTAAACACAGAATTAAAAATTACTTGTGTGTTTGTTTCCAGCGCCGGCGGTCTTGTGACCGCTGTGGCGCCGGTTGTGATCCGCGGGAAAGGCATATGGGTGGGCTGGCCGGGCATCCATCTTGACAACCCCAACGAGAAGATACCGGAGTCCGATCCTAATGACAAGACGCCCACCGCTGGATTGCTGTCCAGTAAGGTACTGTTTGCAATACTTACCATTAAGTTCATAATTATCAATAGTGCACCAAATTTGCCAGATAGCCAAAATAGTCAAAAAACCGCGACGAGCGCTAGAGTCGCGGCATTAAAGGCATGACATGTGTTTAAGCTAAAATGTATTTGAAAGACCGTCTAAAACTTTTGTGGTAAGGCTCTATAATTCTAAACTCCTCATCACAATGAAAATAATTGTAAACGCAACAACAACAAAAAAAACTATGCCCGGAAAATTAACTCTCGCACTGAAATTTATGTATTTATGTACGAGGAAAATTATAACCTACTATATATATTATAATTACATAACAATCATGTTACATAACTAGAAATATAAAAATAGAAGCTTGTTTTTCAAATCATTATCGTTATTAATTAAAAAGCTATTAGAAATCTGTCATTTTGCGTTTCAATTTAAAAATATAACAAATAACTGTGAGATAAACTATATTACGCCAATTATCTTTTAATTACGTACGTATTTTATTATTTTATATAAAAATAAAAGAAACTCGCTTTAAAGCTTAGCTTCACAAATACAAAAACCTTGGGTTGATCGAACAGAAAGTTTTTAAATTACATCCCTATTTTATTAAGGTGGCTACGCACCTTCAGTTTTAACTGTACTATCGAACTTTTCAGGCAATATTTGCATTGTCAGTTAAACTGTACGTACGTACGTTACGAAAGATTTTCATAACGAACTTCAAAAATCGATAGAACTGACAATAACTTTCTATAAGACACGTGAGTTCCGCGCGTCAGTTCTATACATTTTTAATGTTCGTTATGGAATCGCGAATGCATTTTGTCTAAACCCTCAGTTCTCATTGCCTACGAAGACATGAATCCGGCTTTAGGAATATATCACCTATAATCACGTAATACGTAACCAAGTATTACTCTTACAATAACATCCGTATTGAATAGGATTATGCAAAGTGCAACAATATAACGTTAATATAAACTGATAACAATGCGTATCACGCTTGGATTACGCCACTTAACATCGGCTCTGTGATCAAACGCGAGTTCCCCATGGAATTATCTCTTTAAGTTTTGTTTTACCACACTCAGACTCAGATTCGTTTAGTGATCAGTAAGACAAATCCCTTAGTGTAAATGTAGTATGAAAAATCTTTACTAGCGGTAGATAACGCCAGTAAAGCAACCTCGATTATGTGAAATACAGCGGAAAAATTAACTAATATAGATTTATCCAAAATGTTCAAAGCGTTCATACTGCCATTAAGGGTGTAAATATAAAAAAATCTTCCATACTTTTCATTACATCGAAGTTTGTTTGGACATACGGACAATATGCATATATGTTTGTATTTGTTCTTACGTAATACCGGTCGCGTGTCTCAATCGAATGCACCGGTCGTTTTATTAAACGTAGTATTGGTCGCAAACAACGCAGCTTCAAGGGTACCCGTGTACTGTTGAATAAATTAGCTTGAACTGCAAACTGCGCGTTGTCGAGCGCTCTGACGTTACCGTGCAAATAAGACTTTGTGTATAACAGATATATATGGCAAGTAAACGATTTGATATGGATGGAATGTCTGTAATAAAAAGGGAAAATGTTAGTAAATTCTACTAAACTTAAGTTTATGTCGTGTTTACATTATGCCAGTACAGTAGGACAGTCGCTGGCCTGACATGTATCGCAACAATTATATACTTATCAGATTTTTTTTGGGTAATCTTACGATATTACTTATATTATAAAGGCGAATGTTTCCATGGATGGATGGATGTATGATAGAAGGTTTCGCCAGAACGGCTGAACTGATATCGATTAAATTTGGTATAGATGTAGAATAGTCAGAAAAGTAGAAAGTAGAATTTATGCTTTTTTTAATTTCGCACGGACGAAATCGCGTGCGATCACAAGTAATTCATATAAATTACGGTTCATTATACTGAGAAAAGCGTTTTATAAAGTCTAAGTACGTATTATACTATAACTTTTAATAGATATTTAAATCAAGCAAGGTGCAGGACAATCTGGTGCACGGCGCATTTGTATCGCCTGCGCTCAGAACAGATCGATAACAATGTCCGGTCGGGATATTGCGGCGAAATTGATATTCAGCTGTGTCACCTGGGAAATATCGAGTTTCTAAGCATATTTATCTTAAACATGACAAAATTACTTTTAATTGAAAAAAGTTAAAAAAAAACTATCCTGTAATGTTCCCACAATGCAGTATTAAATCATTAACGCATCGCATATCGCATATTTTAAACTTTTCCATATGTATTTATTTATTTTTCAATTTGTTTACAAACAACTTACGTGTTCGGAGAGCATTAAGGAAAATACGTTCGCTGCCGGTATCAGATAACGTGTTTAAATTCAAATAAAACATTGTTATTTGCAAACGTTTGTGTTTATGTAGGTAGAATAGAATTACTACAACACGGTTATGTTAATGGATTCTACAATTAAATTAAGTAAACTTAAAGTTAACCTATTAGGTGAACTATAGTTTATTTTTATATCTGATATTTTATCCTATGTAGTGTTAAGAGTAACTAAATTGACCTCAGATTATTTTAAACAGCTTACTTTTAGATCTGAAGTAAACCGAGACCACTTGACACTTTGTGGTCAGATCTTTCTCACTCCCGGAGTGTAAAGATAATTTAACAATGCTTCATCCGTGCTCTAACCAAAAGTAATTTACCCAACTTCACAGATCGTTGCCATCCATGCGGAGCCAAAACTCTTTGACAGCTACTACAATGGATGCTGCAATGGCACGTTCTGGCCGCTGTTCCATTCGATGCCGGATCGTGCGACGTTCATCGGTGATAACTGGAAGGCGTACATCAAGATCAACGAGGAATTCGCGGACAAGACGGTGCATGCGCTACATCTGCTGCAGCAGGAGAGCAAGGACAAGCCCTGCTCGCCCCCCATCGTCTGGGTGCATGACTACCACCTCATGCTTGCCGCTAACTGGATTAGACAGGTTGATACTTTACACTCTTAAAGTTAACGATAGCTACAAACTCAGAACATATCTAAAATATTTTTATCCTGTCTCTAAAGGACTAATTAAGTAAATGTTAACATAATTAAGATATTGGAATTCTTCTAACTGATATGTTCCGACCGAGACGTATAGAGATGTAGCTTCTGCCCCCTCATCAAGTAATTCCTCATAGTTTGTTTGTTTTAATCAATGTTTCACTAATTATTTTTATGTTTTTTTTCAGCGCGTCGAAGAAGATGAATTAAAATGCAAGCTTGCCTTCTTCCTCCACATACCATTCCCGCCGTGGGACATATTCCGTCTGTTCCCTTGGTCCGACGAGGTCTTGCAAGGCATACTAGGTACACTAAAATACTCTTACAGTTAAAGAGGTCATCGCGTTGATAACATACAGTTTACATTGACATTGTGAACCCGCTATATCTTTATCTAATCCATACAGGATGCGACATGGTCGGTTTTCACATAACCGACTACTGCTTAAACTTCATTGACTGTTGCCAACGAAACTTGGGTTGTCGTGTGGACAGAAAGAACCTGCTGGTCGAGCTCGGCGGACGGACCATCTGCGTGAGGCCGCTGCCCATCGGCGTGCCCTTCGACAGGTTCGTTCAACTGGCCCAGAACGCCAAGCCCGTCCTGTCCACCAGTCAGAAAGTCATCCTCGGAGTCGACAGACTGGATTACACCAAGGGTCTGGTTCATCGGCTGAAAGCATTTGAACGACTGCTGGAGAAACATCCGGAACACATCGAGAAGGTCGTCCTGCTTCAAATCTCGGTGCCGTCGAGAACCGACGTCAAGGAGTACCAGGATCTCAAGGAGGAGATGGATCAATTAGTCGGCAGGATTAATGGAAGATTCACCACTCCCAATTGGTCTCCGATCAGGTGAGCACATAGTAGTCACGTGTTTTATTTTATTGGTTTGATTGTGTATCAACTAATGCAATGATGTACCATGTACTCGTGCAGGTATATCTACGGATGCGTGGGTCAGGACGAGCTGGCGGCGTTCTACCGAGACGCGGCGGTGGCGCTGGTGACTCCGCTGCGCGATGGCATGAACCTGGTGGCGAAGGAGTTCGTGGCGTGTCAGATCAACAAGCCGCCCGGCGTGCTCATCGTGTCGCCGTTCGCGGGCGCCGGCGAAATGATGCATGAGGCGCTCATCTGCAACCCTTACGAGCTGGACGATGCCGCTGAAGTCATACACAGGTGAGAAACAAATCTGCCCGACTTAAATACAAGGTATGAAAGAGAAAACGTTAATGGAATAGAGAGAGTGGGCCAATGGCTTAGATTTAACTAAAATATATCTAGAAGCAATTTGAAATAGTTTCCCAGTCCTGATATTTTTACATTGGAATAATATCTTCCAGAGCGCTAATAATGCCGGAGGATGAGCGGATAGTTCGCATGAACCACTTGCGGCGGCGCGAGCAGCTGAACGACGTGGACTCGTGGATGAAGAACTTCCTCAAGGCCATGGATTCACTGGAGGAGGAGGCCGACGACATCGGCGCTACCTCCATGCAGCCCGTCACCATCGACGACTTCGACGAGTATCTCTCCAAGTTAGTTACTATTACTACTATACACAAACATTTACGCTACAATTATCAAATGTTTATCGTTTATATCACATTTGTGAGGAAGACATTTTACCAGCCAGTTGCTCAGCTGCAACTGTACTGGCCAGTTCTTGTCAAGACCAAAGAGTTTGGATGTCTTCAATGCCTTTTTGTCAATTTATTATCAGTGAATGTTAAAATAAGGCCATTAAATTGAGTGTGTGTATTTGTCAGATACATCGGGTACACGCAGAAGCTGGCGCTGCTGCTGGACTACGACGGCACGCTGGCGCCTATCGCACCCCACCCCGACCTCGCCACGCTGCCGCTGGAGACCAAGCACACGCTGCAGCGCCTCTCAAACATGTCCGACGTCTACATCGCCATCATCTCCGGACGTAACGTCAACAACGTCAAGGATATGGTATGTACACTGACTACACCCAAACTTATTCCACACCAGACTTTTGTAAATCAGCTCTGAACCGATTCAATAGTTCAGGTCATCTTGAACCGTTGAGCTGTTCAACAACTAAATTGGCAACTGATCGCGATGTACCATAACTATATAATCGACGAGCCGTGACTTGCCTGGCGACACTCAATAAAAACGCAAAACATAATGCATGTACAATTTGAGCTGAGCTGCGAGCAGGTTCAGTGATCTAGTTCACACATAAACCGTCATAATCAGGTCATCGATTTCACTTGATTTACCCATAACTAGGCTAAAGTGTGTTAGGGAAAAATTTGTGTAAAAATGTAGATTGGCCGGAAGATTTCAATTGTCATCCAAAATGTAACGTGTGTGGCCATAACAACACTCGAAATGGCCGACGACTATTATTATATTTAGCACAATCTAAATCGTAAATTACGAGGGTCAAATGTTTAAATATAAAAACATAAGATTGCAATCATTATAAACATATAATCAAGACCATTAAGATATAAACATATCAATGGACTGACGTAAAAAATCAACTGTTATCGTAATGTTCACTCGGCCGTGTTATCGCGGGCGCGGCTCAATCGCGGGCTATCAACAGATCATTTAATTTTCCATTCAATTCAGTTGCTAATCGGTCTAGAAGATGTTCTGATAGTTCTGTAAGAAAATATCTACAACCTACATGGGCGGACATATTGACATATAAGAAAAAAGTAGTATTTGCATTTGAAATTAACTGGAGGGCGCTAGTGAGCTATAAAAATTTAGTCGGAGTTATCCCCACCGAGTCCATAACGTTTTGTCTGTCTAGTCTATGAAAAACTTATTTGAAATAATGTTATGGGCGTTTGAAAGCCCACGATTTATTACAGCTAGTTTTATACCGCTTGTAAAAATCGCGCGACTAGGCACTTCTTTGGCCTTAAGATTACATAGGAAAAAAGAGACTTGTTGATAGATGTTATAACATTTATCATATTGTATATTTTGCTCAGAAAATGTAAATATTTAAAAAAAAAAAATATAGTAATTAACATCGAAAACAAATATCCTCATTATAAAAATGTTCGTCACAAATAATATTTTTCTTCATTAAATCGACAAAGTAAAGCTATTTTACGTACGTAGTACGTAGGTTTGCAATAACAAGGCGCGTTATCTCCTCGCACTCCGACCGGAGATAGCGGTTTCTTAAACAAAAATATTGACTTGTTTGTACAAGGGTGGGTCATAGCCCTGCACGTGTCCTCTTTTCTATATATTTAATTGTAACATCATGACGCATTATCTATATAACAAAATAAAATTTGAGTGTCTTTATTTAGTATCTTGTACTTTCTTCACTTATAACGAAAAAAAAAACATTTTTAAATTTTATCTGTTTATGGGCCAGTCCGCGTTTATTCCGAGTATTCTACGAAACGACTGGGCAGAGTTTAAAGCGACTTTGACGGGAAGGCAGCTGATCTATGTGGGGATAATACAGGCATATTATTAGCCTTTTAAATTCCACGCTAAGTTGCGGGCAATAGGTTGACAGTAAAAATTTAAATAATCGATGAGAAAACACTGATTAGAAAATTGTTTCCTATATTCCAACCAGTGTTTTATCATTCCCATTGCAAAAAAAACACAACAATGTTTTTCCACAGTTGTTTCGACAGTGAAAACTGACGATAAAACACAAGAATATTTGATGTCCTCGGCATGTACTTAGTGACTGTAATAACGATTATTGCAGCATTAAACGCAGTCAATAAACGATAAAAACGTTGCCGTCGTATGTTTATACATAATTATTATACAAATCATATAACATATACCTTATATATGTTTATATTGATTTATATGAGTTTAAGGTTTATGAGCTGATACGGTGCTTGAGTAAGATTTATTGTTATAAATATTGATGCCAATGACGAGTACCAGTATGTCGATAAAATGTAGTTCGTAAAACTCATACTTGTGTAGATAAAAGTTTTATAATTCCTAAAGAAGATGGCGTTAGTATCAGTTTTTTTTTTAAATCGGGTTAAGATGAACGTAGTAGAAAATTAAAAAGTAATTGTGGTTATTCCAGGTGGGGATAGAAGGGATAACGTACGCCGGTAACCACGGCCTCGAGATTCTGCATCCCGACGGCAGCAAGTTTGTTCATCCTATGCCCATGGAGCTGCAGGACAAAGTGGTCGAACTGCTCAAGTCGCTGCAAGAACAGGTGATCATCATTTCATACCTTATTGGGGGCCCACACAGTTTTTCATGTATTAATTCAACTCGTAGTGTGATTTGGTGTCACAGATCTTGTTATGGTCCAAGTAAAACTACGCTGCGCGCCGATAACCTTAGGCCGCCAAGATATTTGCAATTTTTTTTACGACGCGGGCTCGGGAGGCCAGATTTTAAGTAACTTAAGATTTAATATCAAGTCCTGGCGAGTTCACTATATAAGAATCAATTTTGCATGAAAGGTGTTGAAAATATTATTATTATTGTCAGGTGTGCAAGGACGGTGCGTGGGTGGAGAACAAGGGGGCGCTGCTGACGTTCCACTTCCGCGAGACTCCGGCTGCGAAGCGCGCGGCGCTCGCCGAGCAAGCGCGCCGGCTCATCACCGCGGCCGGGTTCACGCCCGCGCCCGCACACTGCGCGCTCGAGGCCCGCCCCCCCGTGCAGTGGAACAAGGGGCGCGCCTCTATCTACATTCTGAGAACGGCCTTCGGATTGGATTGGAGCGAGAGGATCAGGATTATCTACGCCGGCGATGACGTCACCGACGAAGACGCTATGCTGGTCAGTAACTATCTTTAATTTAGCTTGGACCTTAATTGGTAAAAAAAATAACAAGTTTAATTTTTTAATCTTTTATTTTTGTAGGCACTGAAAGGTATGGCTGCGACGTTCCGTATTGCGTCATCGCACATAACGAAGACCTCGGCGGAGCGGCGGCTGTCGTCCACGGACTCTGTGCTCGCGATGCTTAAATGGGTCGAGCGGCACTTCTCGCGCCGCAAGCCGCGCGCCAACTCCCTTACCTATAAGAGTGCGAGGAAAGCCCGCGATACTATACAGATGCACATGTCCTACCAACCCCCGACCAAAACCTCCCCCAAGCCCTCCCCGCCGAGAACACCCGACAAAGCATCCAGCGGCTCCGAGTCCAGTTAGACTCACTGGTTCAATGGCGGAATGAGCGTTTACTAAAAAACAACGTTTGTCTATGCTCCCCGCTAGTTGGCGCCATTTTCGTTCCTGTCAAACATTGACTGTTTGCTTTCGGTGTTTAGATTTAGACTGGTATCGACTGAGAATGTTTATTTTTAAGCAATTTATGATCACATTTTATTTTTTATGTCAGGTCGTAGCAAACTATTGAATCATAAATATTTAACCTACGAACTAAACCTCTCCTTTTTCATTCCTATTAAAAATGTAGCATTAGATTAAAACTATGATAAATTACAATTTATTAATTTATTCTTTGGCGCAAGAGCTACGACCAACCAAAGGAGTTGTAGATCTTAGAAGCAAAACTTGTTCTCACGCACACTTTTGTCAATTTTAATTTATTACTAGACATTTTGACTACCTGAAAAATGATGTTTTCTTCAAACAATTTTATAAATATATTTCTTTGCTACATTGATATTACCTTTTATATAGACCCTATAGGTTATATTTATGAAATCTTTTAAATTAAAGAAACCAAATATGTCGTCAATTAAGTCAAGTATGTGAAATACCTTTTTTTAAATCAAAAACTTACCAAATTGATCCCTAGGATATGGACATTTATTCACAAGTATTTGGAATACTGTGAGTGAGATAAATATAATTTTGAACACTCATAAAATAATTATTATCAATATTTGGAAGGGTCTATTATACATGTATACTTCTTGTTTACTGTTTTATATCCACTATTTATATGAACTTTGTCATTTATTGTCAAAATTGTCCATTCTTTCATTCTTAACTACTTTTGAGGTATATACTGTCAAAAAATAAACTGGTTAAAAGTTAAATTTAAATGATAAATGTGCATTTCCATTGATTGTTAGTATTTTACAAAATAAACATAGGTTGCTATAGTTTTCGAGATTTGTAATATACTCATAAAATGCTTTTTCTCGAGTTTAATTTGTTCTAAACAATATGTATGTTATTAGGATTATAATTTTATTTATGTGATATGTAGTGATCTTTTTTAATTTATGTAAGAACTCTGTACAGATTAAAAATAATTAGTTCCCAATATGTTTAATTCGATACCAAAAAATAAAATTAAAATTCCAAAGTAGATTAACAAATGTATATTCTATTTGTTGTGACTTTTGATTTGTATTCACAATAATTCAATTTAATAGTCTGTGAAAAGATCGCACGATACGATTGTCTATGGTTCTCGTTCTGGTCCACAGCTCGGCCATTGTCACATCTCATCCCAAAATGTACTGAAAGTCTCGAATTTTCATAAGCTATGTATTTTTAGACACATATATGTTTTTGTAAGGTATTCAATAAAATACTACAGACAGTAAATAGTATTTTAATTTAATAATATTATGTACAAAAGTCGTGTAGTAATTTTGTAGTTTTAAATCGTAAATGGAATGTCATTTAAAAATCACGAAAGTATACAGTTGTGTAGAAGTTCATATTTTTGGTTTCTGTGATATCAACTTGTGCTTGTCACGTGAAACGTGGCTTTAATAAATGTTATACCAAAGTTTGCGGTCATTACCGAATAAATACATTAAATTCCTTATTCTAAAAAAGAAAACACATTTATTCACAAATTATTCTAAAAAATGTCCATATCACAATAATAAATACAAATATATTCAATAAGTACTAAGAGTGCTCAGACATTACTGTGAGAGACAACGAGCCATGATAGTATGAAGTAAAATAAACATATCGGGTACACTGCTAAAGCCTTCTTCCCTTCAGGCTGACTGTCACCCAGGAACTTCGTTGCAGCTGTAATAAAATATATAAAATATCAATAAACTACGTACCCATACTACTAATATTATGAATGGAAATGTTTGGATGTATGAATGGAACCTGCTGAAATTGGCATAGATGTAAAACATAGTCTAGAAGAACACAGGCTACTTATTAAGTTTTTATTTAATCCCACACAGACGGAGCATGTATCGACTGCAGAATGTACTCTTAATTATGTGCCCACAATATTATTATAATATCCCTTAAAATAGACTGATAGCTATGATATTCATTCAAGTTGTAAGATATGACAAAAAAATACAAGATAACTTTAGCTGCGATATAAAATATGTACTCACCAAATGTTGCCCAAATAAAGCCCACCATTGAAATGACAAGCCTCAAGAAAAAGAGGAATGAATTCTGCGTCATGAAGAGTATAACGCGGCAGATGATCAGCGCCAGTGCGATCGGGAACAGGCAGTAGCCCAGAACACACACCGATTGGAAAAACGATCTGGAAATAAGTTATTGTTATGTCATTAAAATTAATATTTAAACATTTAATTCCACTACAATTTCACATATTAAAGGACAAGTCGAAGGCACTGAATATGTTAATACTAAAATTATCTTAGATCAATGAATGGATGGATATTTGTAAAAAGTAACTCTGAAACGGCTAAACCAATCTTGATGAAATTTGGCATTCTTTCCAAGTTGATTTCTTATAAAAATTCAAGGTAAATAGCAATTTTGCTAATCTACTAAACATTTGTTTTTTTATACTATGTTAAAAATTATATAAGACTTTATTTTGAAGATTAATCAGCTGGTAAGAACTATAAAAATATTTCCCCAAATAAGTGATACTTACATATTTCCGCCTAAGAGCTTAGAGTTAGCGGTTACTACAGCTGCTCCAATCCAGACTAGCACAAACACCTCAGCAAACTCAGGTCCACCGTCATTCGAGTTATCAGCACGCTCAGTGGAGCCTTGCAGGATTGTTGCCATCAATGTGCACAGCAACAATGGGCCCCAAAGGTCCCCTGGAAATTTTGAAAATTATATAAATAAATATTTCTTTTTATATTAGAAGTTTTATTTATAGTGAATAACAGTAGAATGCAGTAAAAAAAATGGTGCAAGCATAACTTACATTCTTTTAACAAACTAGTCTTTTCTTTTGGTATTAAGACATGAAAGAATTTGTTTCCGACAGCTCGTAAATCTCGCATCTGAAAATGCATCAATTTTAACTGATGATGACTGATGAAAAAAGTACATTTTTATGCTACAAAGGTTACATCAGATATGTTGGTTCTAACATAAAAGCTTGATCACCAATGTAACCTTAGCCTATTAGCATTGAATAAGGTTATAAAATAAAATTTAAGACATTTGTTATTTAATTCTAGATTTATGCAAGAAGCTAGCTTATAATACTTACAAATGTTTCTTTGATAGGTTCATCAAGGGTATTGAATTCCATACTTTCCCCAGAAGGGCCTCCTTGGGATGGAATGTTCATTTCACCTTCTACCACACCCACATCTCCAGCGGGAAACATCTGTATTGTAAAATAATGACTCAATTCACTTTTAATATATAAATTGTATGAAACCTTGTTTATCTTATCCAGTCAAGACACTATTTCCATGTTATGATATTACTAACAAACTAAAAGATAACAAAACATGTAGAATTAATCAATTTGAAATTTGTTTCAATTTGTGTAATTTTTTTCTTATTTACCTTTAATTAACATGAAAATAATCAGACCATTGTTTACATTTTAATAAAAAAATATGTAAACAATACTCTTGCATTATTACCCAAAATAAAAATTTTGAAATACGTAAAATTGCAGTTTTATAAGAACCCTATAAAGACTACTTTACATGGTTTTACTTACATCATATTTTGAGTCGAATGTCGTCATTTTTACCTTCTTGAATTACTTTATAGAAAATCAAGTGAAAAATCAAAAAACTTCCAACACATCAAACCACTAAATTTACTGTGCTTTCATTCAAGATTTCATTTATAGCTAAGTGACATTAGCCTGACGTTTGTCTTTGACATTTAGTTATGGTTCAAAAATTAAATTATTTATTTATAGGAATTTAAGAGGAAACAATTCATGCAGGTATCTAAAAAATGTTAACTTTATCATAAATAAAATAATTAATGTCGCTTGTGATTAGTTCAAATTGGGGTTACTTATGATTATTAAACTAAAGAATATCTGTAGACGTTATTTAGTGAAGGGGCCTTTTATCAAAGAGTATATAAAATAATAATGAAGAAATTAAATAAAATTTCCCTTTAAGTTGGGTTTGGTGTTTTCGTCCCGATTTAAACAATATCACCTGAAGTTTTTGATAGTTTGATAGCACATTCACTAGTTTTTAACTTGTTTTGGGTGCGTTTCCTACATTTTTCTTCCTTATAAAGATGGGATCAATAATTTTGATATTTTATCTATGGGCAACGATTAACGACTTGTCAAAATCAAATCGGCAATTTGTGTTTTGTGTTTTGCTTTTGCAATAGATTTCTATTAATTCTTTGTTTATTTAAGAAGAACGATAATAAGAATAGACTTAAAGTATTTTATTCAACACCTTCCCACCTCTGTTGTTATCTAAACCATGTATACAGTAAGCCATGAAGGTCACAGTTAAAAGTACGTTCGGAGTTTTGCACATTATTTAGGGATGGTTTTATCGAATGAGGTTTTAATAGTTTTGAACTTTTAGGTTGGACTGGTGTTGCTACGTGGCGTTGGATAGCTAACGACGATAACTGCGGTATTTGTCGTATGCCCTTTGACAGTTGTTGTCCTGATTGTAAGCTTCCCGGAGACGACTGTCCTCTTGTTTGGGGTGCTTGTTCTCATTGCTTCCACATCCATTGTATTGTGAAGTGGCTACACTCACAACCTCAACAACAGTGTCCTATGTGTCGACAAGATTGGAAATTCAACAACAAGTAAAATATTTGTAAGTATTATTTGTGCTCTACTTTTAAATCCAATTAGAGATTAATACTAAGCAGTATTGGTAAGCTAACGCAGTTTCTATTTTTAGAAACAAAAGAATCAATAGGTAGCAAACTAAAAATATTGTAAAATGTATCAAATAAGTTCTAAAGTTATGTTTTTTTCATAACTGATACTTAATGTGGGGATACATAGTAATGTTGTATATAAATGTACATAATCAGTAACATGTACATGTTTCCACTGTAAAATTTATAAAAACTATGAAATTGATTATAAACTATGGAATTTACATTATATGCACTATATCTTTTCACAAATATAAACATCACGTACAGAAGCAGATGATATTCTCATAACAATTTTATAACAATATATATGTCTTGTTGAAATAATATTTTAACCATAAAATCAATTAAAACACTATTTTAAACTAATTCATATTTGTTTCTTAATGACATTACGTAACCTATCTTCTTAATTTTAGTTAGACATATGAAAGTTGTTTGCCTCAGACTCATACCTATATAGTTGTAGGGATTTTATCAATATATTTTGAAGTTACTGACATAAATTTGAAGTTATTCATAAGCAAACATCAAGTACTTTTAAGTAATTTAATATTATATTGAGATTCATGAAAGTTTTGTGTTGTGAGTTTAATAATAAATTATTATTTATCCCAAGCCATCTAAGTTATAGCTGTTGTGATGTGCTCTCAGCCTAGTTGCCTCAATCCTCTTATTAACACATTTATCTAAACTGGATTTGTTTCATAGAATACCTTTTAGAATCCATACTAGTTGTCATAAGCTGGTGCATATTAAAAGAGGAAATAGGTACTTTTAAATCCCTTTGTTAAATACTCAGAAAGAAAAGAATTAAAATCATTTCATGATTTTATTTTAAGGTTTTATTTAAAGAACCTTTGAATTAGTTATTTCAAATCTGATATTTAAATACTGAGCTATATTATCTATCTTCAAATCTTTATTACCATTTTATTTGCATTTTCGCAAGCGTCTACTATCTGCAATGTTCCAATGGTTGGAAACAAAGAGCCACTAAGTAAGTGCTTTTACGAGTACGCGCAGACAATAGGCCACCATGCAACATGGCGTGAGCCACCCGGCGCGGCGGCCGCCGGTATTGCGTCCGTTCTCATAGTAAACAATCACTTTTACAATAATTTAAGTGTGGGTCAAGTTATTGTATCCGTTTGCTACCAACTATGTAAACTGCTAAAAATTGCAATCCATTAATTCGCGCGCACACAATAATCTATTCTAAGTAGACGGCCTAAAGTTTAATAAGGTTCACTAATTGGCCACGGCGTCGCGGACGTTTACTTTAGTCGGGTTCACATCAGTCAGTCGCGCGCCGCGGTCGGAACGGACGTGCCACACGCCAGCGCTCGCTCGTGCCGTGACAGACGCGTAGTGCCGTGCTCGCGCTCATTATACTATAGTGTCCGTGTTATAGTATTGTACGAGTGAAGGCTCGTTTCAGCATGCTTATGGTACAAACCAACGCGCAGCCCATGAAGACTAACAAAATCAAAGGGCCACCTCCTGTCCCGCCCCGGCCCAGCCAGAGCTTGGTGGCCGAAGCTCTGGCCAAGACGAGAAAGGCCGTTACCGAGTCCAAATCCAGCCTCTCCAAATCCCGAGCTTCATCCAAACAGGACTTGAACAATTCCAAAAAAGCCAAAACATTGGATAGAACTTATGCAGCGAGTCAACAGATCGTGTCGCCGAAGCAAAATGGTCTCGCCCGAGTCAAGTCCTTCATCAGAGATGTGATCAGTGATCGCAGCTCGTCCTCAGATGAAAAGAAATCTAGCGGCCAGAACTCTAGACGAAGTTCCAGTGATAGCAATTGTATTCAGGGACCGACATCCGTGAAGAGGTCGAATGAATCGTTGAATTCTAAGGCAGTGAAAACTTGCAGACAAATTTTAGTGCGATCTCTTTCAACTTCGAACAAGTTAGATCAAGATTCCAAATCCAAAGTTTCTAAGTCTTCTAGTTTTGCAGAGAAAACGTTGCCTTTGAGGAAAGCACCACCGCCGCCACTGTCACCTAAACCTAAGTTAAAACCAATGAAACCTTTACCTGTAAATAAAGCTGCACCAAACCAACATAAACAAAAGAAAGAATTGACGGAAGTTAGTCCGTATTCCTTACCAATAGACGCCAAAGCCGAATCGAATATAGTTCCGGAAGCGCCGTATGCAACAGTCGATGAAGTTCAAGAATTCGACGACAGATTAAGAAATAGCCCGTCGAGACAAAATGATTCGTTTGATACTCAACATGTTTATAAGGATTCTTCAGTGGAGGATCCGAATAAAAATAACAATTCTCTCGAACGTAAAACGTCTCGTGTTACCGAAATGCTTATATCGGAAATACTGGCAAGCAGAAACAATAATACGGACGAAGCGAACACAGTGATAGACAAGGGTAAAGATTCTTCTATACTGTGTAACGGGAACGATTCTCCTGAGATCACAAAGGACATGAACAATCATGAAATGTTGATATACGAACTGCAGACGATGCGGTCACAGTCTAACGTCCCTGATGCTCTGGAGGCGGATCCGAGCGAGGAGTGCGAATCGGACTCGGAGCCCAACTACGCCATGTGTTCAGTGACCAGTGAACAGACGGACGATATTTACGAACAGGCATATGCTTATATTGCTGATGATGATCTCAAATCCAGGTAAGGTACCAGGAATTCAGAGGATTTTGAAGACTAGAAATTAGTGAAAATAACAAAATATTGTTAAACAACTCAGTCATTAGGTTCACACAAATTCTTTTTGTACAATGCCAGTTGTTTCGCCGAAGGCGTTGGTTATGTGTTGAAAGGTCACCTGATAGAAACGTGCTAACAATGTACTGGTTCGCTTACAAACGAATTATTACACAGCAATATTGTTTCTGGGACAAAGTAAAATGGTATCCATTGTAAATGGATCTAATGAATGAGCTTTATCATGATTAAAGTTAATTCGACATTAAAATAAACTTATGTATAATAAATTAAATTATCTTGGAGTTAAATAAATTATGGTTATATGTATATTTTTTGTGTGTTGACGTAAAATAATAATTGATAAATTATTTTGATAGGAAACTAATATGAAATATTTTTCTCTATTAAAAGTCGATACGTGTATAAAATTTACTGATTATGTTATTATCTTAAATACATTGATATGTTTAATGGCTTTATCACAAAAGTTTTCTTTAAAGAAAGACAATAATAAATCTTGTTTTACCTTTTTTAATCACATTCTTCAATACTGGTTGTTTATAATTCATGATAGTCATAGAATCCGTTTATCGATTACGAAATAATCACCTAACAGAGTATCTATAGTAACTCTTACATCACAAGCAAAGTTGGATGCTATATGAGCATAGCTATACTTAGTAAACAAACTTGTCCTCACTGTGTCCGACCAGTGTGAACTTAGTCAACTTAGTTGCTAACTCTACCACTGCTAATAAAGTTATTATATCATCTGACCCGATTTAGGCTGTTCATACACCAAGCAATGTAAATCTTTGAAATCAGGCGATTTATATCGCTGACCGAAGCGTACCTTTTGAGTTGATACAAAGGTACGCTTCGCAGATATTTTGTTATATTGTACCAAAGACCTCATATGTGTCTTCTTTCCATTGCAACTGTAGTCTAAATGTATTGAACGGTTTTGTTAGTGATGTTTCATTCTATTTTTATTCATCCCGGGGTAGTAATATAGTCAGTTTTTTTTTGTTATTATTAACTTCATCGTTTATTGTCAGGCTCCGTAAGCAGTTCCGCGCGATTAGTACGATGTCGTTGTCGGGGCTGCCACCGCTGCCCAAAAGTCTGAGCGGGTTCGCGGACGTCGAGCCGGATATGTGCGAATCCCCTACACACACTGAAGATCCGCCTCCACAGGACCTTGACTCGCAGCTCACTTATCTCAAGAAGGAAATGGTGAGTGTACTGCTTCTTATTTTATTTAATCATTACAAGCTATCACAGGTACTTTATTGATTTGTCTCGTCTTTATTTACTTAGTAGTAGGCAACCCTAAATTCCTTTATTAATATCCTTCATATCAGTATTCTGTCTTGGTATATTCTCTCTGCGCGTAGTTTCCTCAACCCTGGGGCACGTGATCTCTCTTCTAGACCTCCCGAGGTTTTCACATTTGACTCGATAAAAGGAAATATCTCGATATCAGTCAATTCAAGTCAGGTAAAAAGAATCACCTTCCTTAGAGGCCGGCAACGCATCTGCGGTTCCTCTGGCGTTGCGTCCATGGGCATCGGATCAAATCATTTTAGGCGATTCGTTGCTCTTTTGCCCCCTTCTCCTATAAAAAAATATGTAAAAATGGGAAATGATCTCTGACGTATTTCCCCTTATTCTGTATACCAATAAATTCTGTAGGTGCAAAATTTACATCGTTTTAATCAATTTCATTCGTAATTTCGGCCAGTTTGCTACCACAGTGTTGCTTTACAAGTCGAGGTGTGTTAAATGGAATAAAACGATCGTAAAATGTTTACACAGGGCACTAAAGTTTTGATGGACCGTATAAAACGTTTCGGCATTGCGTCCCGATATCATAACGTGCGTTGCAAACTTTACCACTTTTAACTTACGAAACACTGCAAGAACTGCGATAAGAGAACTGTATAAGGGTATATTATTCAATTATGTTTTCCTGGTATATAAATCTTGATTGTGCGTTCTTGACAAGATTGTGATTGACAAAGAAAATAAATAACAAATCATATTTAATAATGAAATATGTTAATATGCACTTATCCTGTTGTAATCAATTCTAAACCAAGATAAACATTTATTCTGTTTTTTTTTTTATCTGTTGGAATTTTCTAAGGGATAATTGAATTGAAAGCTTTTATAAGGTTAACCACTTATTTATCAGAATATGTCACGATAACAACCAGACGACGTCACAATTCCTTACTCATTAGAATAAACATCAGTAGTTAATTGAGAACAAGCTGTAATAAATTGTAGAAAATATCAAAACACGGAAAAGACAATGTGATTTCAAAGCCCCCATACATAGTAGTGACGTAATATCAAATCAAACTATTCTAAGTTCGTGTAACCTTCGCTTAACCCGCTCCATCTGTTCAATCTCGCGTTTGCTAATGTTTGAATTGACTATAAATCAATTGGTCGCTTCCTTAAGAACTCTCCCGCTGCCAAACCGGTCGTATCTATCCCAGTCTTATTCCATTGAGATAAACTTTACGTTTTTAAAAACTGCAACCGTGTTCTACGCTTATATTTGTTTATTTTATCATACTATATTTATATCTACTGTTTTGGATTGTAGCACGTGTTTGGTCTGTTGATACGAACGGACCAAAACTACGATTAGTTTAACATTATACTATTGACGTTGAAGAATATAGTTTCTAGTTTTGCATCATCAGACTGTTGATTACCGGACAAGTATACACGTTTTATTCCAGTATCTTATGTCAGGAAGAAAATCCGACACTGTACCGGTGTACTGGCACAACACTAGCCTTACTAAAATGTCGACGTTTATGTCCCCTCACTAATGATTCTGACACTGGACTTTGTAACGAAAGCACGTCATTCGCGCCAAATGATTCTAATACAGTCTATAAGATATGGTTATTTCTTATTAGTCTTTAGTCTTTGTAATCGAAGACCCCACGTTCCACACTGCCATGGGTCAACGCTCCTGTTGTAGGCGTAATTTTAATTAAAAACTATTGATAGTTTCTATATTGATAATTCATAACAAATTAGTGATAAAAAAGTGAGTTGAACATTCTTGAACTTGTGTCAAATTTATTTTTAATATAGCCTTTTTTAACGAAACCTTACTGGTTTGATACATTTCTCATATAAAGATATATCTGTAATGCGCAAAGTCGATGACTAATTCGCTGTCCACTGGTGGATTATTATCTATAGAGTTGTGGTTAAATACTGCGCAGTTTTATGTGACGCAAATCGCGCGTGTCCTGCATACCCGGCTAATCTGTAGTGTTTTATGGCGATAGCAATTTTATTTCAGATATCTCTGTGTTATTAGACAATCAATCGCCTATTACTTCTATCCTGTACTTATTAGTAATTTTTAAACCTAACAGTAAAATGTCAACATTTCTGTGAAAAAGGCAGCATAAGAGGAAAAGTATTTAAGACGATTTTGATTAAAAAAAATATTGTTTTAGGTCAGAACTCCATAAGCAATTTACCGTATACGCGACAAAAAGTTGGCGTAGCTATTTGCAATTCAAAACTACTCTAAGTCCGTAAATAGTAGGTAATGTATTATGTCATTAACTACTGGTCTCAAGATCTTACCTTAGATAAGAAATTGAGTAATAATTTGTTGCATTCTTTTAAATATTTATTAATTTACGTCAACTGTTTTGTTGTTTCCTTTTGCGTACTCATAGATAATTTAAATTCAAAGAGACTTGTATTTTAAGAATTACAATTTTATCATCATTGACATTTTGGATATCATGACAATGTATAGGAATTAACATATATGCACTTTAAGCATTGAATTTAAAAGATTGTTTTTATTAATTAAAAATTAAGTTCCACTTTTGATTCCAATTTCCAGCCAGCCAATTAGTTTTTATACACTGCTAGCTGTCTCCCGCGAATCTGTCTATGGAGAATTAAAAAAAAATAGTAGTCTATGTGTTCTTCCAGATTATGTTCTACATCTATGCCAAATTTCAGCGAGATCCATGCAGGCGCTCTGGAACTTCAACCGGCAACGCTTATGCAATTGTGTAAGTCTTTGGGCAACGGTCACTCGCTATTTCAGCGATTCAGGTGGCCGCTCGCTCGTTTGCCACCTTATGATATAAAAAAAGCAATATCGATGTGTTATTGTTTGCACAATTAATACAGTGGAGGCAAGTGTAGGATGCGAATCATCAAAACGTTCAAGGTAACACAACACAATTAGTAAGAACCTGTTCTATTGAATGCCGTTCGCATGACACAAGCGGAATGATCGTTGTAGTTTTTTTTATATATTAATTTTGGTGTCATTTCGTGACTCGCACATTACAAAAAGCATGACATTAAATCGTATAAAACAGATTAGAAATATCTGCATCATTTTGACATATTACTATTTTTCTACTGGTTAATAAATAATTTTGACGTCTTTTAGTTTGCCGGTATTCTCTTGTTGTGGTACTTCCCCTAATTCATACACTAACGAAGCATTATGACACGTTTTCTTATTAAAGGTTAATTCTATGAATGATAACGAATGTGAAGAATAATCGATATGTCGCTTATCATTTGTTTTGTACGATAATTTTTATAGACCCGTGTACTTTAATAAATGCCTTGATAACACACGATTATTTTCTATTGTCGAGTTACGTAAGTTATGTGTATTTGGAAGACATCAAGAAGCAGTTTTTTATTTTACTTAATGGGCCAAAATTGGCCTAAAATTCAAATTTTTAGCCTATGAATTATGTTTTAAAATGTTGAAATTTTTTATTGTTAATTTTAATGTAGATAAAATATATCAAAATAATGATAGAAAATTCACTTATATTTCCTTTTTTTTTGTATTCGTTAAATCACTAGATATTTTAACAATAAACCTGGAACATAATCTAAAACTATGAGTCTTTCCATTCATCTTCCAAGTATTTTATTAACATAAATGTTGATATTTTATGATATTTCTTTCCTATTTTGGTTGACAAAATTGTATTCCTTGTGAAAATTTTAATTCTTTAATTATTCGAATGGTTACGTAACCGAGTTCTACCTTCGTGATATAATGGGATTGGTTGTGACTAGAAATAAACATTCGGTCGTAAATAACTTTCCAACGTCTCCTATGGCGTCTAAAAGTGCCTATGGCGACAATTTTCTAAGACATTATGAAAGTTATATATGAACATCGAAAAGGGTAACCTACGACTTTCTACTTCGTTTCTTTAGTTCGAATTCCCACGCGATTGTTCAACAAACGGTACAGATTATGCAAAGATATGTAACACTTAGAATACGTCGTATTTTGTGATAATATATCGACTTTTTATGCTATCGAATACAGTGCGTTTTATAAGTTAACTTTTACGAAAACTTTTATAACTTCTGACATAATAGCTATCGACCGCGACTCCGTCCGCACGAATATAAGAAAAATAAACTTAATAAGTAGGCTATGTGTTCATCCAGACTATGTTCTAAATCGGTGCCAAATATCATCAAAATCTCAACGTACTCTGATGATGCCGTTCTGGAGATACCATTAAACATCCATTAATCTAAACTTTCGTATTTATAATATTATTAGTAAGATATAAGTAGGATTATAAAACGACCTTTATACCTCTGTGTCTACCATCCTTGTTTCCATACAATTGCTTCGGCAGTGGAATCCCGCATTAAAAATTGACGTCACTTGACATTTTAACTGATATAACGAACACGGGCCGCGCACACCGATAGCTAACGATTGACAGACAATCAGCCTGTTGACCTGTATTGTGTCTAATGTCACATACTCGTGTCCGGGTGGACACTTGGCACTGTCCGGCAATACTAACCTTTAAGTAATTCAGGTTACCTATTACAGTCAACTGATTACGTAAACATTCAGTAGTGGGTCACAACTAGAGTTTTTTATAGATTTTTTTGAGTAATAGAAAGGAGATATAGGAAGTGAGAGATTAAATATTTTGGTTTAGAAGATAAAAGTTCTAACCAATGTGTGCTAACTTTTATCATTACAACTCCTCTTCGACTTCGCAAATATTGAAGGGTTACCAAATAATAACATTGAAAGATGTACATTACTTCCGCACTCACAGTAGTTAATTGGTTACTTAGTAATATTTTTAGTTTAGATACAGTATTATAAATTTATACCAAGAGTCTCTAAGTGCGACAGTGAGAAATATAAACAATTTTTTCTTAAC